CGATAGACGTTTTTATATCGTCAGCCGATATATATCGTTATATCGAACAGCTCTAAACTGGCCCCTAAAAAAAACAACATCTTCAAGACAAAATGTTCAAAAGAGTTAAAGTTATCAAAAAGATAAAGTTAATAGGCACATTTTCTGATGTTTATTGGCATACTCTTATGCTACACAGGTGAATTCAGGAAGCCTTGCCAACAACTAAATCCATGTTAGATTATCAGGACTTTAAATACATACAAAATAATGTGAAATTGGTTTTGTATTTGGATATCGTTAGCTTTAAGTCAGCAAACAGGCCACTGGAGTTCTAACAAAGCATTTACTCCCCAAATTAGGTGTGGAACAAAAAAAGACATCCCCCCAAAAGAGGGTGGAGCCTAAACAAATTATTCTCTATAAAAATTTAAAAAGTAAAAAAAAAATAGGATACAGGATACAAACAAATCTCCAGAAAAAAGGAAAAATGAGGTTGGGGTAGCCCTAAATAAAAGCACATTGGTGAAAGTTTTATTATTTTGCTTTTATTTTGGTGTAGGAAACTTTGGCCGAGGTAGGAAAGTTCTATATTCTGTGGTAAGCCTAGTGTTGAACAACCATATTTGGGTGGGTCTAAAAGCTGAACAGCTAAAAAGGAAGTGTACAAAAGTTAGTTGAGGTCATAAAAGGGAAAAAAAACACCATAAAGTGGGACCTAGAAAAGCAAAACACCCTAACCCAAAATAAGGTGGTATACCCTAAACAAAGCCAAAACTGAGTGGAGTAAAAAAAGAAAACAAAAAAGAAAACAAAAAAGAAAACAAGCAACATCCAAAAGAAGGCGGGTCCGTAATGGACCAGGGGGAAACAAAGTAACAAAACAAACAAAACAAATTAATAAATCTGTGAATCTTGTCACTAATAAAAACTATACTGTAGACAAAGAATTAGAAAATTAGAGGAATCCAAAAATAAGATGTTTACTAAAAGAAGGAAATTTATATAACTACGTCTTTAAAAAAAACAACAACAACAACCATTTTAATGGTAAGGTTGGGTAACTGACACTGTGCATTAAAACTGAAACTATCTGAACAGGTATGTTTTTCAGGCAAGAGTACTATATTTGAGGTGGATGACCTGCTTTGGAGAGTGGGTGTAAGAGCCAGTATGAGTGGGACTGAGCAGTAATGTTGGAGCTGGTTTTGGCTGCATTGAGATAAAACCACAGCTAAACCGCAGAACCAAAGCAGGACAATGTTAGACATCTGTTGTTCTACAGTCAAATAAATCTTTTACATGATGTCCAGTTTTATTTATCTGGCTGGGAGTTTAAATCTGCAGCTCCACCTGTCAGAGTCTGAATCTGCAGCTGGATTTTTTTTGCTGTTGTTGTTTTTACATAACACAATACAGATGTCTGTGTGATTGTTGGAGGAGGGTGGGCAAAGCTTCTATCCTCAGGTTGGATTGAGTTTGATCTCAGCAGACAGAGGCTCGAGAGTAAAAATAAACCCCCACAACTGTTGAGATAATCCTTTATGATCGCTCCACGTATGAAAGGGGGTGATCAAACCTTTAAAAGTCTTTCCTCAGGTGTCGTATCGATCGCTTTACATGCTCCCAATGGCTGCACATTATCAGTTTGTGCTGCCTGAGTGCCCGCCCACCTCCACTGAGAGCGCTTGCTCCACTCCACTGATGATGACTCACCTCAAGCATTAATTGTAATGAAAAGCAGGAAAACAAATGAATGTGGGTAAAAAAAGAAACAAGAACATAATGTCAGCAGTTGGCCGTAATCTGGTGGAGTCAGCAGGGGTGGAGGCGGAGCTATGAGGGGGGGACAAAAGGTGCAGAGATCTGAGGCGTAATATCTCAGGACAGACTTTAGCGGCGGTCAGCGGGCGCAGTTATGCAATGGCTAAAAGCCTCGTTTAAAAGCATCCCGTGACTCTTTATTACAGTTATTAGCGGCTGTCAATCAGCCGCAGTGTTACATCACAATCAACGCCACTCTGTGATCGACCATCTGCCAGAGTAACGCTCACTGAGCCTTACAGAAAAGTGCTACCGTCAACAAACAAGGAAACAACCGACGCACATACCCTCACTTTGGAGATTACTTTACAATCAGTCACCTAACAGATAATTTCTCTTGAAAATGTAAGAAAACACAGAAGAGAAGTTTGATATAGCATTAATCATCAAATCTTTACAGGACAGACTCTAAAAACTCTTCTCCATTTTATCTTAAAAACAACTACTTAATCATCTAAATGGTTCCCTGTTAAAATTCAGGAAATAAACTAATTATAAAATTATAAATCAAATAAAAAATTCTGCCATCAGTATCATACAAAAATACCTTAGTAAGTCGTCTGAAGGTGAAGATCCATCATTTAATTTTTTTATGAGCATATGGTGGCTTAAAACAGCCCTGTATTATTGTCAAGTGTTCTTGTATGTATTTAAGGTGTTGCTTCACCTTGTTTTTAATCCAAGAATAAGAATAAAAAGGGCGGAATTCTTCAAAAAGGAGGAGTAGCCCAAAAAGAATGTGTGGTCATAAAAGAAAAACAAACATCGTAAGAAAGTGGGACACCAGGACAACAGAAGAAGCCAGAAAATAAGAGGTCCAATTGTAATATAAGAAGAAATAGACCCAAAACTGGGCGGGATCAAGACAAAGGCCAACCCCCAAAAGAAGGCGGGACCATAAACATCCTTAAATAAGGCAGGGTTGCAAAAATGACTTCTTTGTATTTAACAGGGGTGGGGTTCTTTAAAACCTACCAATGAAGAAGCACACCAAAAAAAATAACATGAGAGAAAAACTTTTGACCTTTTTTTTACTCAAATATCATCAATTATTTGATTTTCATAATGATTAACCATTAATATTCTGCCAGCAAACTAATTTATCAACTACTAGTTGCACTGGTTGTCATTATCATCAACCAAAAGCACCCTATAACACAGGTGGTCAAATCATTTTCCAAATGGTCCCTATAAGAAGCTGGGACCGGTGTGGCCCTCTACAATAGTTCCAGCTTCTCACATGGCCCGTTTGACAAAATGAATTGCCCAGTCATTGTCTAAAAGGTGATCTGAAGCTGTATTTATATAATTTTCCTTTCTACAACAGTTTGAGATAAATAAGGATTATTTTGGACTGTAAATCATGCCAAGTGAAGCTAATAGAGTCCAAAAGGGATCTATTCTGCTAATTTTGAAGTGTTGCAGTGTTTCCCATGAAAAGATCTAAATATATTTTACAAATTAGCTTTATTTTTTCATCTATCAAAGAGAATGAGGAAACTGATTCAACTAGTGTACAAGCCCTTTGCTCTTATTTTGAAAGGCTGAACCCTTTCCATCTCTGACAAATTTGCTGTTATTTTAAGCTAACACTAGAGAGGAAGATTTTTTCTTTTTTTGGTTGGGGGGGG